GCCTGCTTGAGATTCTCTCTCTCCCTCTCTTTCTGGCCCTCACCCCCACTCATGTTCTCTGTCTCTGTCTCTCTCTAAAATAAAAAAAATAAATAAAAAGAATTCAAGCACTAATAATAAGTTATGTTATTTATTACCTTCTCCCTTCCTTCTCAGGTATCAGATTATGTTGGTGTTCCTTTTAAAGGACAGATTGCATCATATTTCTTTTTCTTAAATTTTTTATTTGAGAGAGAAAAAGAGAGATGGAATATGAGAGGGAGAGAGTAGAAGAGGGAGAGAGAGAGAATCTCAAGCAGGCTCCACATTCCGTGTGGAATCCAATATGGGGCTTGATCCCAAAATGCCAGGATCATAACCTGAGCCAAAATCAAGAATGGACGCTCAACCAACTCAGCTACCCAGTAGCCCCAGGTTCTAATATTATTTCTTCAGCTATAGATACCTGTTTCAATTGGATCTTGAGCCCAGATGAAGACATACCTGTGTGTATATGACTCCTGTGTATATCTGAATTTGCTGATTTCCCCAGTAAAATATGGCTTAAAGTCTCTCCAGTAGTGCCTGGGAATTGGTGGGGAGTGCTGAGCTCAGGTTCTGTTCTCTCTAACAGAAAGTCTTTTTGGTTCCACTAGTTTTTAAGACACTTAGACTAGACCTAGGTCAGTTGGCTCCAAAACTGTCAGAATACATTGCAGGAAACTCTGAGCAAATGGCATCCTAGTAATATTACCTATTCAGCACAATAAAGTTTGAACCTAATCAACTCCAACAAGATGATTCAACTGTTTACACTTAAGTGTCACCTTGGCTTAACTTTCAACAAACATACCATTGCACAAAGAGCTTTTGCCTGTCTTGTGGGTACACTTCAAAAAGCTTTAGTGCTTGCAAAACGCAGCTGCACAAACAGACATGCTTTTACTAATACCAGTTTCTGAATATGGCTGGAAAAAGAAAATGCCACTGTTACTTTCTCTTAAAAGCCTGTAATAATATAGAACTAGCAGATAGGATATGGCCCCTAGGTGACTTAACTATATAACTCTTAAAAGTTCTCAAGACTTAAATTACCCTTAGTGTTTGACTCAGCATTTTACAAGCTAATACCAGAACATCTACTTAGCCTTTATTAAAAACCTGGAAGAGAGTTGTTATCCTGTTTCTTTAAATTTTTAAAACAGTTTAAAGTATTTTGAAAGAAAAATACTAGGTTTGTCAGTACACCTTGTTGAAAGTCTTATTTACTCTTATTCAAATGAACTGTGTTTTAACTTAGATGTAAAAATTAGTGAGTAGAGAGAAACACCAGCACTTCATTGATTAGAAAACGTGTACCCATATGTGTAGGTTTTCTGGATAACTGAAGTTCATGTCCTTATGCATTACTTCTTTTTAAGACAAATAATTTTGTAAGGATTATTATATACTTTATTACACAAAATGTATTAATCACAGTTATACTCTTAATATGTGGAATACAGAGTGGATGTCTGGGTTTGAAATCCTCTTCTGTAACTTGGTAACTCTGTAACTTTGGCCACATTGTTTACCTCCTCCCAGCCTTACAGTCCTCATATAAAAAGGGTAATAATTATTATACATATCCTACAGAGTTGTTTTGAGAACCAGAATAAAATGATCCATGCAGATCCTTAGTGATTCGCATATAGTAATAAGGTATATAATATAAAAGAAAGATATAGTAAATATTGGATATTGTTGCTATTTTTTATGGTGATGATTTAATACACAGCCCATTTCTGTTTTTAACTGTCTGTCGTACTGTCAGCTATTGCTTTTCCTGAATTTTCACCATTTCCCCTTCCACCTCATATTCCTTCCCCAAATCCTCTATAATCTACTTTTAATCTGCCATGGACTGGAAAACTAGATAAAATTTATACAGTATAATAAGCTACCGAAGAGTTAATAGACTGTTAAGTAATAAGGGTTAAACCTTTGGCTTTAGCATGGGAGTTCATGTCTCTTAGTCAGTTTTTTATTTCAGAGTGTGGGGATCTGTTATATCAAAGTTTCTAGAAATCTGATATACTACTAAATATGGTTAAATTATATATATATATATGACTTAATTCTAATTCTTTCTCATACACATAGCCTACATATTTTATTTTAGTAATATAAAACAGTTTGTCATTTTCTTCTAACTAATAATAATTAATTACATTTTTTAATGTTTATTTTTGAGAAAGAAAGTGAGAGAGAGAGAAAGAGACAGACAGATTGACAGACAGATGGTGCTAGGAGGGGAGGGGCAAAGAGAGAGACACAGAACCCAAAGCAGGCTCCAGGCTCTGAGCTGTCAGCACAGAACCTGATGCGGGGCTGAAACCCACGAACCATGAGGTCATGACCTGAGCTGAAGTTGTGTGCTCAAAAAACTGAGCCACCCAGCCACCCCACTTAAGACAAATGTATTATACATTTACATAAAATTACACATAAGTGTTCAGCAGTGAACATTTTTAGGTACTTGAGTAATTACAAATAGTTTATTTTTCACATAAATCAATATTCCAACAAATGCCAAAGATGACACTTTTAAAATGACAAAAGAGAAGGAAGACCTGTCACTAATTTCAACATTCAGACACATGTATTTTTCTAATTTTGTGGATTCTCTTGTAGCTTTTAATCATAAACACATAAACTCATATCACTCAGATAAAAGAACATAAATTTATAAAGACCAAGAATATCATGATTTAATCATCATGTCTGAAAAATTTTAACCTGGGCATAATAGATCTGAAAGTAAAAGATTCATATCAATTATGAACTTAACATTTAACCAGCAAAGAAACCAAGATATTCCCTTCACAGTAGATGTGTTAGCCAATTTCAGAGAACAAAGTAAGAAAGACATATATTAATTTATGGATAATTATGATGATGATAAATATTTCAAATGAAAGCATATTCAGAGTCTTTTTGTCTTGAATTATCTCCTTTCTGCTTATGCATAATTTAATCACATACTGACACCCATTATTTGATAAAAGACCAGAAAATTATTTTTCTTGAAGGTTATCAACATCAAACAGTGTTTAACCAAATGATGAAATAAATTAAGATTCTAGAAAGTGATTATAGTCAGTACATATACACACATGGATTGAAACATTAAAATTTTAAAACATATAAGGATTTTAAAAATTTTTTATTGAAGTTATTTTTTAAAATCTTTTTTTTTTTTTTTTTTTTTTTTTGAGAGAGGGAGAGGGGAAGAGAGAGCTGGGGAGGAGCAGAGAGAGAGGGACAGAGAATCCGAAGCAGGCTACAGGTTCCAAGCTGTTAGCACAAAACCTTACATGGGACTTGAACTCATCAACTATGAGATCGTGATATGCTGAGCCACCCAGGTGCCCCAAGATTTTTTTTAATCTAATGGAATTTTTCCATGGCTTGCTGAAAACTTTTTTCCCCCAGTAGACATAGTTTATTGTCACTGAGTTGGGAATGGGTTTAGCTTGAATGATCTTGTTAATAACATTTATTCTGAAATAGTATATATTCTAGAAGGACAAGATCCTAAGCTAGAAATTCCCATTATGTATAAAGTGGGAAGAGATTGGTGCATACTGCTGCCTCAGTGTTTCAGTGTGTGAGTGAGAACAAGTGATGGAGGAAGTCTCGTTTCTCTTCAGATCTGGAGGCTTTCTTAGATATTTTGTGGTTATTAAATGAAAAAAGAATATGATAACTTTACATAAAAACTATGAATGATTTAGAAGAGCTGTTAATTAAAGATTGCATCATACTACCATTAGCTGTGTTTAAAATAAATATGCTCACACATTGTATCATCTATATTTGGAATATCATTTGTTCTTGATTTAAATATATCTGTACCTTTAACAGTTGATATTTAGGTGGTAAATATAGATCTGTAATTTTACAAATTGTGAATATCCCTACCATTAGTGTTAAAGGTTTCAGGGTAGCACTTTGTATGCCCTGAATTTCAGTGACCACAGAGGGTTTGGGACTGAGAAGTGCTTGTTTGTACTAGAAGCCTGATTCACATTTTCCCCCCGGCCTCTGTTTTCCTCTAGTTTCTGTCTTCTGCCCTTTTCCTTCTAGTTCCCCATATGTCTGACTCTGGCTAGCCTGCATTGTCTTCACTGTCTTGATTCCTGACTGGGTCTTCATTGAGTAGTTTTACTTTTCTGTTTCTGACTCTGAATTGTTACCAAGTTACCCAGTGATCACCATGTGTAGAGAAAAGCGCAGCCCCTCTCTTTAGCAAATTTCTTTTTAAAATTGTTGGCATAAATCTATTTTCTTCTTTGGATAATAAATGACATAACATTCACTTGTATCCCTGAAGCTCACGTCAGTGATTTGCTAGTCCAGCTGAAAATGATTCTCTAGTTCACCATGATAAATCCATTAAGCAGACAAATTTTAGGTCACAAGTTTCTGTTAAAGTGAGTTCACGATGAAAATATAATTAGATCTAAATTGTTCAGACTCCTGAGCCATCCATAATATAAAATAGCTGCTTTTCACATATCCCAGTGCTCTACCTTTCTACATTGGAACTGACAGCCACCATACGATATACAAATATCAAGTTCCTGGTAACATGTGTTCTTTGAACTTTGTCCTAAGAAAGACTCCACTGAGCATTAACACTAGCTTGGCATTTAAAAGGCAAATTTGACTCTTTTTCCGGGTTTTTCTGCATCATCTCGCCTCATACTTGACTTGAGGTTTACTAAAAGGAACCAACTACAAGGTCCTTTCCCCTTACATTTTATTTTAGAAATTGTGGTTGGCAGTGGTGCCATCAGTACACGTATCTCATGATTCCTTTCCATCCTATGGACTTAATGCAGATTCTACTGGGTTTTACTCTGTTGTCACTATTAAGCCATTAGTTTTGTTTTCTGTCTAACTTCTCTGCCTACCACTTCCCTGCATTCTTCATATTAAGAGCCATTTTAGAATCATTTTTTGTGTTTGTGATTTAGCTCACACCAAGATAGAGGCTCATCCAGTGGGCAATGCAAGACATGACTGAAATGGAGAATAATGAAGCTGCTGTGCTAGAGAAGGTCATTTGACCAGACTCATTCAGGTTTAGAGACCAGGTAAGTATGTGGAGCACAGTTAGAGGAGAATGCAGGAGTGTGAAATAATCAGGTAAAAATCTGACATCAAAAAGGTCTGAGGGCATGTGGGTGGCCCAGTTGGTTAACCTGATCTTAGCTCAGGTCATGATCTCTTGGTTCATGAGATCAGGCCCCAAGTTGGGTTCTGTGCTGACAGTTCAGAGCCTGATTAGGATATTCTCTCTCTCTCTCTCTCTCCCTATCTGTCTCTCTCTCTCTCTCTCTGTCTCTCTCTCTGTCTGTCTCTCTGTCTGTCTCTGTCTCTCTCTCCCTCTCTCTCAAAATAAATAAACCTGGAAAAAAAAGTCTGACATAGTGGTAAGAAGCAAATCATGGAGATTGCATTTGGAGGGTAGACTTTTATATTTGGATTGAGTCACAGCAACTATGCAGGAGAAATAGTCTCTGAGAATATAGTGTCAAGATAGGATCTTAGACATGAAGTAAAATAAGAAAGTGTTATGTGGGAATTGGTTGAAAAAATGACAGTTGTTTCTCCCTCTCTGTATCCATGCTTGTCCAATTAAGAACCAGAGTCTATTCCTGTCTCTTGAAGCTGGGCTGGCTTTGTGTATTGGGACCTGCTTTAGCCAATAGAACATGGCTGAAGTGACAGGGGGACTTTTAAGCCTAAGCATCAGAACACCTTACATGTTTCCTCTTAATTTCTTGGATCCCTGCATGCTGTCAGGTGAGTAAGCTGGAGGGTGAGAGACTATGTGCAACAAGGGAAGCTGTGCCTACTGATGTTGTCATAGGCCAGCTAGTCTTCTGCTGACCTATAAGCTGATAATATACCCATCAGTAAATCTAACCAAGACTAGAAGAACCCCTTGTTCAAACTTGCAAAATTGTAGGCTTAAATAATAAGTGGTGCTTTTTCATGTGTTTAATAAATGGCCAGTAAATCGTTTAACATACAGATGGCTTGATATACACAAATAACTAACCACTAAAACTCCATTTACTAAAACAGATGTTGTACAGAGTTTGGATTTCATGTAAGAAGAAAAGATACATTCAGCATCACTATGTGACAAAGTTAATATTGACCAAAAGAGATACCAGTCCAGGAGTCCACTTATTTTTGTGTAACATGGGAGTTATTCTACATTTAGAATGGGTTTAAGAGCCATCGCTCTAGATTCTAAAGGGTAGAAGCAAATATAGAGATTGTTAATGGAAGAAATATTTTGAAAGTATCAAGTCAATTAAAATACTTTCATATATTAAACACTATGTATTAAAAAAGAAAAACAGCACCTAAAAAGTTAAATAGTGAAAATTTTTCTGCAAAATTTTATAATTAATTAAAGATTTTGCTATTCAAAAATTCTTAGAAAACCAAAGATAGTGAGTTTTGGCAAGGATGTGGAGAAACTGAAATGCTTGTACACTGTTGTTGGGGATGTAAAGTGTTGCAGCCAGTATGGAAAACAGATTCCTCAAAAAATTAAAAATGGAATTACCACATGACCTAGCAATCCCACTTCTGGTTATATAGCCAAAAGAATTGATACTAGGATCTTAAAGACATATGTGCTGTCCCAGTTCGTTGCATTGTTATTCACAATATCCAAGATATGGAAATGACCTAAATGTCCACTAACAGAGGAGTGGATAAAGAAAATGGGACATAAACATATAGTGGAATATTATTTAGTCTTAGAAAAGAAGGGAATTCTGCCATATGCAATGACATTGATGAACCAGAAAGACATTGTGCTGAAGTAAATAAACCAGTCACAGAAAGACAAATATAGCATGATTCCACTTATATTAGATATCTTAAGTAGTCAAGCTCATAGAAACAGAACAGGATGGTGGTTGTCAGATAATGAGGAGAGAGAGAAATGGGAAAATGCTTTTCAATGGGTATATAGTGTCATTTATGCAAGATGAATAAGGTCTAGAGCTCCCCTCTACAACATTATGATAGTTAACAGTCCTGCATTGTGCACTTAAAAATTTGTCTAAAGGATAGTTAATATTAAATGTTCTTACCACAATAAAGAATTATAAAAGAAGATCAATATGAACTAACATGATTTTCAGTTAATTATTTTCCATATATGCATGGATATATGAGATTTAACAGTTGGAACTACTTCATCATTAAATTTCAGAAGAGAAAAGAGTCATGGAGATTATATAGTGCAGTTCTGTAATTTTGTAATTGTTATCAAGGGTCCTTGTTAGGTCCTATAAATAGTAAATGACAGAATACACTGGAACATTGATTCATTTCTTCTCATCTTATGCCTTGCCTCTATAATCTAATGAATTCTTTAAAAAGTTATGTTAGTATAAAATATTTATCTTCAGGGCCAAAGTAAAAACAGATGTAGGTTTAACTTCATAAAAATTGTCTACCTTGAATTATTTTTTTCATTCTTCCTTAAGTACTGTTATTATTGCTATTCTGGTAGCATATTTCATTGCTAAGACACTATTTCCCTGCAATAAATTTAAGAGCCTAAGGATCTAGTGACTATTAATATGGTAGGAGAGCCACACTTAGACTAATCTTAGGTAGAAAAAAATTTGGTAGAAATGTCTTCAGACTTTTTATTTTCAACCTAAAGAAGAGAAATCTAATGGAGTAATTTAATAATGCTCCTTCAAATCATAAAGAGCTTCTGCATAAGCATTGGTGACCAATTTTTGTTCATTTTTTTGTGGACATAAGCACAGTCATAGGCACAAAGAATATTTGTGCCTAGGCACAAAGAATAAAAGTATGAGATTTACTCACTGTTCTCTTGTAGCTTGTAAGTCAGTTACTGGCAGCATGAAGACATAAACACAGGAAAAAGTATTCTATAGTCATCAGCAGTTCAGGCTGTTATAACAGAATATCACAGACAACAAACATTTATTTCTCACTGTTGCAGACGCTGAGATGTCAAAAATCAAGGTGCCAGCAGATCTGGTGTCTGGTGAAAGCCTGCCTCCTGGTTTGCAGGTGGCCACAGGCAATGGAGAGCAGAGAGTGAGAAGAAGCAACCTCTCTTGTCTCTTTTTTAGGGCACTAATCCCATTCATAAGGGTTCCACTCTGATGACCTAATCATGTCCTAATGACCCATGTCATAAGTGGGGGAGGAGGGTTAATATTTCAATATGTGAATTTTGAGGGAGACTCATGTAACAGCTACCACATACAGCTTTGTGTATAGAACATCTAAAATGCTCTATACAGACAAAAAAAATGCCATAGACAACATGAGATTGATGAAGGCTAGAGGGGCTTGGGAAATCCTTTTTAAAAATGTGAGATTTGAGTTTGAAGGAAGGATGGAGAGGAACTCTGATTAAGGAGCAAGGACCAGAATGCAGTTCTAAGAGAAGGGAAAAATAAATGCAAAAATTGTCTGTGACTGCTGAAAATTTAGTGAGGTAATATGGAGATCTGTGTGATTAGGCGGTATAGAAAGAAATAAAGTCAAATTAGTTAGAATAGACAAGATTAATGGAGCTATTTATATGCTAGCATGAAGAAATTAGAGTATTATTCTGTAAGCAAACCTAATCAGACCAAATGGACATTGTAAACCAAATTAATCCAGTCATTGGCACACTATTATCTTCTCGCCACCTCTAACATACCCCAGTGTCACTGATATTTTAGTCACTAACTGTGGAAGACTATAGAAGTTGATTTTTCCACTGTCATGAAATCTCATCAGTCTAAATATATTGACTTAATAGAAAGGTCAGAGCTCCAAGGATAACTGGCACTTTGACTAGCCATACCACAGTGGACCATGATACTTGCTGAAAAAGAGAATATGCCCTTATTTCTAAAAGGCCCCTGGTGGAATTTCCTTAATTTGGATAGGCTCTTAGCTTTGTCAGCTTAGGGAAGCAGAAATCTCACTTTAGACTGTCCAGATATATTTTCTTTAACTTTCTTTGTATTTTTTTATTTTTTATTTTTATTTTTTTTTTACAAATAGGTTATTGTCAAGTTAGTTTCCATATAACACCCAGTGCTCATCCCCACAAGTGCCCTCTTCCATGCCCATCACCCCCCTCCCCACACACCCATCAGTCCTCAGTTTGAATCTCAGCATTCAATATATTTTTATTCCTCTCCTTCCTGGCCAACATTTGACAGTGGAATGCCTTTCCAGAATGAGTATGACTTTTTCCCCCCAACCTTGAACGCTTCAAACTTACCTCTAGAACATTTCTCTTGCCCCAAAGGAGGAAGCATCATTTTCTTGCTCTCTCAGCTGAGGTTACTTGGTAGGAAAAAAAAAAGATGGCAGCCGAGGCCANATAGATAAACCACATCTTCTTGATCCATTCGTCCATTGATGGACACTTAGGCTCTTTCCATGTTTTGGCTATTGCTGAGAGTGCTGCTATGAACATCGGAGTCCATGTGCTCCTATGCATCAGTACTCCTATATCCCTTGGGTAAATTCCTAGCAGTGCTATTGCTTAGACTGTCCAAATATTTCATTGGCTCTTCCAGATATCACACTGACCTGTCAGTTCTTTCTTTTTTAAATTCTAGTTTTGCTTTAAACTATAGCATTACATTAGGTACAAAGGAGATACTTACTGTTAAATGAGTGAATAAATGAAAGGACTCTGGTGATGATGTTTTACTAAGAGGAGGTGTTATAATAATAGTGGTTTAATGTGAGCTTCTTGAGTCAGGCATGATGTCTGATTTTACTTCTCCATTTTTCCCAGGTACCTAGCATACTGCTGCAGACATGGTGGGAGCTTATCTGATACTTGTTGAACTGAATTGGTTCAGTGACCATAGGATGTTAAAATTGGAAAGAAACAATAAAGTTCTGACCTTTCCCTTAATGAGCTTTAAGAATAATGTGACACACAGGAGCATCATTATATATTTAAATTAAGTAAACTCTTATTACTAAATAAATACTGATGAAATTACCTGGTTTATAATGGATATTTATTTCTTGATCTTCTTTATCTTAGCTCTTTGGAACTCTCTGCATTAATTCATAAAGCTACAGGAACAACTTACTGGGGGAAAAATCCAGGTTTTATTGTGGTAAAGACAAAAAATGTTCTGTTGATTGTTGGCTTTCCTCGAACAGTCTCTTCCCTTTGTGCTCTGCACCTCTTATTGCTCTCTCTAGACTCATGATTCAAATGTTCTAGATGATTAGGCTACCTAGTGACTCTTAGCTTCTGAGAGTGCTTAGGGGCAAGCTGAGCCATATTGTCACATTATGTCTTAACATTATGTCCCATAAACCATAAGTGCCAGCCTACAAGTAACAACTCCAAGCTAGGTTCACTGTCCACTTGGCAGTTAATGCTGACTGTCGATCTCACAAGAGCGGTCAAATTATACAAAGCCTTCCCTCATAGTGCTGTATGGCTCCTGCAGTGATATTTAATTATTACATTGCCCATTTTGTGTCAGACTTTTTGGAAGCCACATCATAAGTAGTGTCTTCTAGCAGGTGCAGTATCGTGTCACAGTTAAAAATGGTAGCTCAAGAGTTAGACTTTCATTAAAATTTGATTCCAAAATATATTAGTTATGTGACCTTGATCCAGTTGTTCAAATTTTCAGTTTTTTCATCTCTAAGATGGGTACAGTAATAATTGTTGTAAAGACTAAATGAAGTGTGTGGCATATATTAAGCACTCCATAAATGACAGCTAGTCCTGTTTCTATTATCTATAATTAGAATTAATATGATTTATAAACCAAAGAGACCAAGATTGAAATCCTGCTGCTACTTTAAAAAGCATTATGATCATTTTTGCACTGACAGCGAAGGTGAACATAAGATGATTTGTATGATGTTATCAACTCTGACTTAGAGATGCACATATTACACGAAGTTATCAGGGTGAAATTTTTGGCCACTGGATGTGTGAGTAGTAGATATTTACATTTAGCTTCCTTTCATTCTCATTGGTAACTGATTATTTAATAGTTTGAATATTACACGAAGAATAACAGAATATAATATCTTTTGTTATATGGATTTAAACAGAGACATTCATGAAACTTCAGAGGAAGAATAAGTTAACTGTGAGAATACCCATAGATGAAAAGCTTTAGAAACTGGCAATTCTATGAATCAGCTATTCTCATTTTTTTCTTGAAACACATATGGATCCTTTCCATGGAATTTCTCTATCATCTTGACACACTACCTTTGTGTCACAGCTTCCTTACAATTTTTCTTTCTTTGCTGTTTTTTTTTTTTATTAGTTTTCAGGAGTATTTTCTGTTCTCCCTTCTCCTTTTATATGTTTATATTAAGTGTTCCTATTTCTTTGTTTTTCCTAGTTCAAATTCCTGAGGAAATGATCATTTCAAATGAAATTGCCCTACCTCATTTCTTTTAGATACTGACTTGATTTATAGATAGCCCTTCTTTTGTTAACTGCTCACCTGAGCTCTGTAGCTGAGTCCAAGGAGTGAATTGTGACACAAGGTATAAAACATGGCTCAGATATGACACGGATAGGCAGAGCAGTCTCCCTTAAAATCTGTGTGGCTATAGCAAGCATGATGACTCCTGTAGATTGGTAATAACACCCATCGATGCCATGACTTACTTTTGTTTGACATTTTAGTAGATTACTTATTGCAGCAATTCTATTGAAGACAGTGACTTCTGATTCTTTTTGAGGCTTGGATATTAGAATCTAAAATAAGTTGAATTAGGCAGAGAATGAATGGTCCAGTCAAAGGAAACATCTAAAGAGGATTTTGGGGGTACCTAGGTGACTCAGTTGGCTGAGTGTCATCTTTGGCTCTGGTCATGATCTCATCTTTTCTGTGTTCAAGCCCTGCATTGGACTCTGTGCTGACAGCTCAGAGCCTGGAGCCTGCTTTGGATCCTGTGTCTCCCTCTCTCTCTCTGCCCCTCCCTGCTTGTGCTCTCTTTATCTCTCAAAAATAAAATAAACACCAAAAGATTTAAATAAAAATAAATAAATAACAAAAGGATTTTGGCCATTTCCTTAAAAACACTATTGTATTTAATTAAAAGGAGATATTGGTCTAAGAATGGGCCTTTTAAGCCATGGTGGTACAATGTCAGTACTGTTCACAGTATGGTAAACAAAATGAAATAGAATGAACACACAAAGAATTATTAGGATACACCATCAGATACTACAATTTTGACTGCCACATATTTATTTACTGATCATTAAAGAACATTTTCAGCTATCAGAAAGATTTAGCTGCAGTTTATTTTAGCATGTCTGGAGGATTACTTTTCTTTTACCAAGGACAAGAAATGCTGCTCAGTCATATGCTAATGTACCACAGAATAATCAGTAGTTAGAAATATTTAATAATGAATACTAAGAAAAGAAATATTGTTTGAGTTATGGAAGAATGAAAATCAATTATTTCATTTCTGTATAATTCTTTGGGCAAGGCATACTAATTTGTTAACAAATTTACCTCCATCTTTTTAAGCTTTAAATAAATGTTAGTCACCAAAGCAGATTTTGGGGAATCATCAGAATACTAAATTTACTTGCTTGACTTCCCCAAATTGAACAAAGCACCAAGAAAGCCTCATGTTGTTTGTTGATAAATGAATAAATAGCTCCATGTTTTTCAGATCTGAACTTAACCATTTATTGATTTCTTGCATGTTTAAAAACTATAGCTAAACCCTAATGTCCCTAAATCAGTTGGAAGAAAATAATTGGTTCTGCTCATTGTGTCAAATTGTATAAGTCTTTGCCATCACTGATCCTGTTGTAAAGATTTTTTTGCCTTTTTAGAATTTAATTTTCATTTGTTCTCATTACAGTACTAATTACTTAATAACATCAGTGTTTAAGATGAGCATCCTTAGTGTGAGGGACTGATGTGAGTTGTGTCAGACTCAGCAGACAGCCCTGGAAAACAACACCGAATAGAATTGCTTTCCCCATTTAGATCATAGCTGACTGTAGGTTAACAGTTGATTGGTTAGTTATTTTTATACACACTGATCTACAAAATTGTGGGTTTTCTTACACATATTAATTTTGAGGAAAAATAAAATTAAAAACAAAAAAAGCCTGCAGCTAGTCTTGTTTTTACATCTTAAAAACAGAGCTTTATGTACTTTTCTTATTTCACCAAGTTACTTGTTTTCATTAATATGCACTTGACACTTTGCCTGTTTAATTTTTTGAAAATATTATTTTAATATTGTTTGTGTTACCTAAGCAAAAAGTAATATATAAATCAGTCTTAATCTTTATACATCTGCTGTTAAAATTGGAGATACGTAAGTGCTTTCAAATGTTTTAAGCAAAGAAAACATCTGGTCTGTGTCGTAAGGATCATGTGAGATTGCTGTGTGTTAATAGTGCCAGGGCAAAGCATTCAGAGGAGTTAAGGAAGAGTGGAACCATGAAACAGAACCAAGAGGCTTTTTCAGACATTATTTGTTTGGAGGTTTGGAACAGAGTGAAGACTCATGAATCGGGAATAAATGAATCTTCTTAGAATCCTCCTAAGTCTCTCTGCAGAAAATTTAGCATAATTTGCTGATGGGTAGCATTCCAAAGGACATGTAAAGATTGCAGTTTCTCCAAAATTCCAGGGTAAGATAAATCTCAAGCAATATCCACTTAGCACTTAGCAGTAAATGTGTGGTGTGTGTGTCTCTGTGTTTTCGTCTGTGTGTATGTTTTATAAGACATGATAACTGATGAAAAATAAAACTATAGATAAATCTCTGTTCTGTCCTATTTAGACTCTGGTGTTTGGCAATCAAAAGAGAAGGCAACATGATGTGCATGGTTTGGGAATGCTCTGTAAGGTGACCTCCAAAGAGTCATGCTCCTGCGGGATCCTTTCCCTTAAGTGTGAGCAGACCTGTGACTCACTTGATTCTAATCCACTCATACATATATATGCCATATCTGAGCAGAGCAGAGTGAGAGGTGAGATGAGTATCCTCCCTTGCTGGTTCTGAAGAAGTGAGTTGTCATGTTGTGAAAGGAACTGTGAGTGCCCTGGAGGAGCTGAGAGCAACCCCCAGGCCATACATAGCAAGAACACAGAGACCTGAGTTCCGCAGCTGCAAGGAACTGAATTCCGCCACCAACCACATGAGCTTAGGAGAAGACCCAGAGTAGTGCAGCCCACCTGACACCTCACTTTGCTTTGTGAGACCCTGAGCAGAAGATTCAGCTCAGCTATGCTTGGACTTCCAGTCCGTGGAGACTGTGTGATAATGCATGAATGTTGCTTTAAACCACTAAATTTGTGAAATCTGTTAGGTAGCAACAGAAACAAATACAGATGGATAAGAAAAAAGATGAGTATGTTCTCGATGTGTAGAGCCACATGCGCGAAGATGGCAGAAATCAAAATAAGATTGATATATTCTTCATCCGCTCATAGACTGAACAAGAATTTCCTCAGTGCTTAATGTGTGCTAGAGCCCTATCAGGAAATGAATAGGGAAACTGCAGTTAAGAGAGCTCAAGTGACTTGGTCAAGGTTAAAAGGAGAAATGTGTAAGAATGTAAGAATTCTGTGTGGGAAAATGAAAACATGTTCATGTAGCATCACGACCAGTAGGGTCTCTGAGCCCTTACTTTCGATCTTTGGGTATATCTTGTTTTGAGTTATTTCCTTTGCACTGTAGTTAAAATTTTGCATACAATCAGCCTGAAATCACTCATTTTCCCTAGTGTCCAGGGAGGCATTAGGATAATTTAAAAATAAATAACTGGGATTATCTCTGTGAAATATTTAGAGTTTTCTAAAACAAAAGTATACTGTTTCTCTACTAAGTTTCCCAGAGGGTAGAATAGAATGCTGACAATTGAAAAAATAAATAGATCCTGAAGAAAAAGTAGAAACAGGAGCTAAAT